GGGTTTATGGGGTTTAGGGTTAGGGTTTAGGGTTGAGGGCTTAGGTTTTAGGGTCGAGGGCTTAGGGTTCAGGGTCTAAGGTTTGGGGTTTAGGGTTTAGGGTCTAGGGCTTCTGGTTCAGGGCTTAAAGGGTAAAGGGTTTAAAGGGTAAAGGGTTTAGGGGTTTTTGGGTTCGCGGTAGGGGTCCAAATACCCAAATAGCAAATAGACTAGGCCCAAAGTACCTATACAGGAACCCATTTGAGCCCAAGTTATCTCCTTGGATCCCTAAAGCCTGAGTAAATAACATTAGCACACATGTTCTTTCCATTGCTCACATTCTGCTAATCATGTTGTTCTTGCACACGTTCTAGATTCTAGTTTCCAGGTCACTTGAAGCTTCATGGGACTTAGTATTGCCAGTTGCATGGCCGAAGCAGCGTAAAGGAACGATCCGGGTTGAGGTTTCAAGCTGAAGGATGCCAAGCTCAGAAACAAATGCGCCGAATGCACCCAGTACCTTACCACACCCCAGCGAGCTCAGCATCCAAAAAGACGGCTAGGCTACACCTAACGTCCACAACGGCATTGGGTGGCCGATGCAACGCTGGCCGATGCAACGCAGGGGGGGAGGTGTCAAAGCTGGAGGATGCCAATCTCAAATCAAACCACGGTCGATGGGTGTCGCTGCGGCAGAACGGCCACTGAGAACCAACGAGTGCCCTTGCTTTGACAGCTTCCCAGGCAAGCACACGGTCTCAATCAACGTGATTAGCAGAGAAGCTGTTTCAAGTCAAGAGTGCAGACCAGGATACAAGGCTGTTAAAATGGTGCACAGACTGATCGACCATCAAGCAGCTCTACTAGTGACTAGTACACTCTTGGGTCAAACAGCGACACTCAGCCGTGCACTGAAATTTGAACAGCTGTGGTAGCATCAACGAGCATCCTAAGCAACCTGCCCCACCTGTCTCGTTCTGGAACTGGAATTCATACACCAAGGGAATCGCTTCTCCTCCCCTCCTCCCCGGCTGGCAAAGAGGATGTTTTCGCCTTTGGCGTCCCCATGGCATACAGACCGCATAGGGTCAGCCTTCAGCCCCAGGTCTATGGTGCGGGCACGCGGGCTGCCAGCTTTAGCCGGCCCCTCCAGCCAGAAGAAGGCATCTTCCGGTGTTTGTCGGGACGCGTGTCCAAGTGCCAGTGGCACCCTTGAGGCTGCAGGCCTCCTCCAGACGGGCCACAGGCTTCGTCAGCCCTGCGGCCCCAGTATCTCCCATGCAGGCGCGCGAGCCATCCAATCAATGCATCCGTTCCTCGTGGATGCGATGGTTTGCCTCCCATCTGGGTCATACAGATACAGATGGTCACGCCCTCCCCATGCAAATGCTCGACACGCAGAGGGAAAGGCACGCTGCACCCAGCTGAGATGAACCGCAGTGCATGACCCTTCGGGTAGAAGGCGGCCCCGCAACATGTTGGACCCCCTTCTTGAAACTCACCGTGAGGTTGTACACGCTGCCCATTCCAGCCCGCAGCGCGCAATAGCTCTCACCTTGACGTCTGCAGTGGCGTCTGGAGGTTCAAGGCCAGCATCCTTCAAACGCGGCAAGCATCGCTCCACAAGCGAGCGAGCTTCTGCTTTGTCCACTGCGCAACCGCATCGCCGCGCTACACGAACAAAAGCTCAGCTCAGTGTTTTGGAAATGGTATAACTCGAGAGCATTTTCAGTTCACCTCGAAGATCACGGCAGTTTGTCGGCTTGAATCATTGGAGACTGCGCGGACAGAACCTATGAAGTCCAGCCTCACCCTAATCAACAACCCGTACAATGCATCCAAACCATTCCGAAACGCCTGCTCACCCACTGCTTCATCGCATCATATCGTGGCATGGCATCGCAACTATGCCCGACTTGGATCCTAGACGCAGCCGTAGCCATTTTGACGTAGCAGGTTTATAGGGCTTGGGGTCGAAGGGTTTAGGGACTTCGTAACTACGTACAGCTGAACCTATTACCCAATTTTTTTGCGTGGCTTCATAGCGGGAAGCCCACATATAAGTAGAGACATCAGCCAGGTAAAGATCCCTAAGCCCTGAACCCCAAGCTCAGGTGGCTTCTGTAAGCAGGTCGTAGACTTCTAGACCTTTGTTTTATTTCATGTACGTACCACTGATGGCATTGGGGGTGGTTAAAGCAAGCACAAATGTATTCTTCATACGAGTACTACAACCACAGAGAAAAAAGCACCTGCCGGCACCAGGCCTGCTGGCTGTCAGTGGCAGGTGGAGATATGGAAAAGATAAAAGAACCTACGATATTAGTGGGAACTGTATGAGGCATAGTGTAACCTCCTTAAGGGGGGTTATATAGGGGATTATATTGGGCAGTATTATAGCGGTTATTAAGGGGGAGTTTAGACTTTGGCTCCTATAGAGGCCACTTTAAAGAGCCCATTCCTCCCTTTCCTCTTAACCACCAACAAGCACGACAGTCTTCGTAAAGATCTATACCTGGACCCCAAAAGTATGTGAAATAATGACCTTTATGGCTATTATTAAGGGTTTAGATGGCTATTATTAGGGGTTTAGGGCTTTTTTTTCACATACTTTTGGGGTTTAGGGCTATCATTTTACATTTTTTGTGGTTTAGGGCTATCATGTTACATACTTTTGGGTTTAGGGCCATCATACTTTCGGGGTTTAGGTAATCGGTTTGCTTACCGGACCTTTTCCTCTGCAGGAATGATCCTAAACCCTAATCCCTAAACCCTAAATACTTAAAGCAAGGCCAGTCCAAAGCTCACTCACTATTGAAAACCCCAAATTCCCAGAATCTCTATGAGCTATAGTGCTATAGTTTAAACTCCTTACAGGGGGTTATATGGGGGATTCTATAGGGGACTACTATAGGGGTTGTTAAGTGGAATACCAGGAGTTTAGACTACACCTCCTATAGGGTTTAGGGCTTAGGGTTTTCGAATGGCCCATCTTGGAGGAGTTCATCAACAGGAGCCCATTCAAGTCCTAACCCTAAACCCTGGACCCCCAGAATCCTCCTGTGGTCCAGACATTTCTGTGCCTTCCCTTACAACTCCCCCTTCTGAGATGACCCTAAACCTTTAGCCCGAACCCTAAACCCTAAACCCCCTACATAAACCCTACACCCTAAAGCATCCAAACCCCCTAAAACCCTAAACTCCCTAAACCCTAACCCTAAACCATTGAAAAATGCTTCCCGGGGGACGCCAACTCAGCTCGCCATTCTCCCGATAGCTGCCGGCCTGAATCTGGGATTTAGGGTGTAGGGTTTAATGTTTAGGGTTTAGGGCTTAGGGTGCAGGGTTTAGGTCTTAGGATCTAGGGTTCAGGGTGGTTCTGGGATTTAGGGCTTAGGGTTTAAGGGGGCACGGGCTATGTAGGGGTTATATTGGGGGATATATTGGGATAATTGAAAAGAAAATGAAAACTACTACAGGGTTTAGAGTTTAGGATTTTAGGTTCAGGGTCTTCGGGTTCAGGGTTTTTAGGGCTTAGGGTTCGAGGATTAGGATGTAGGGATTCTAGGGTTTAAGGTGATTCTGGCATTTAGAGTTGAGGTTTCGCTGCTACAGAACTTATTATAAGTTACTATACTGGGGAAACCCTATGAATGACTATATATATACCCATTGTGGTAAGTTAACTTAAGTTCCTTAACAGCAACCCAGTTTAAGGTTTAGGGGGTCACGGGCTTAGGGTTTAGGAGCTCAAAAATGAAAAGTCACATTAATAAGGACAGCCTTTGTCTACTATATATCCATGCTTGGGAAACTTAGTGTAACCACTTCACTTCACTTTTCTTTCTGGGAGGATTTTGAGCATTCTTCTCGCATCCGGATCCGATTAAACTGCCAGCTGCAATTTTTACGGTGTGCGGTTCAGAGAAACAGTATCGTCCCCATCAAGCAGATAGAATATGGCTTCGGGTATAGTATAATAAGATCCCCATATGCCCCATAGTCTATCTACTTAAGGTGGACTATATACCGTTCTCAGCTCTAGGCACCGGAAAATCCCCTACAGCTTGGGCAAGCATCTGCTTTTGTTGCTTACGAGTGTTGACTGCACCAGAATCACCCGAAACCCTGAACCCTAAACCATACATCCGGGACCCAAAATCCTAAGCCCTAAATCATAAACCCTATGCCCCAAATCCTAAACCCTATGCCCTGAATCCTAAACCCTAAACCCTAAATCCTAAACCCATATCCTAGACTCTAAACCCCAGTGATCCTGGGTCAACCTACGGACCAAAACACACAGCCCCAAACCCAAAGCCCTAGACCCTGAAACATAGGATTCATAGGATTTGGGATACATTGCATGGGCCGTATGAAGATTTTGTGTGAAGAATATTGATTTCAGTAAGCATTCAGTTTCTTGCGCATACAAAAACCCGAAGGCAGGTGCTGAATGAGGGTAGCAAAGGTCATAAAGGCCACAGTTGCGGCACCGTGTGGCAACAGAATCCTAGACCCAGATTACAAGGTCAGCTGCTCAGCTGCCCTACTACCCAGACCCCTGGGAGGATCTAGAAAGTAGAACCCCCCCAATATGGTACCCTATACTACTATTGGGTAATTCCTAGGACCCCTTAAGGGGGATCTACTTTCTAGCTCCGCCCAGGGGTCTGGGTACCCTAGTTTTGGGTAGTAGGCAATGACCAACTACCCGTAAATCAACCTTTTTGGCCATAAACCCTGAATGAGAACCTCTCAGGTTCTAGGAAATCCTTTAACCCAATGGACCCAAAGTTGCCTAATATACCTATTAGCTCTGTATACCACCATATACCCCCCAATATACTCGTACAATTGGGCCTTAAGACGGTGGATGTTGCAGCGTCCCTTATGCTCGAAATGTTTAAGCCTGTGCAAGCCAGAAAATGCTCAAACGGTTTTAACGTATCACAGCAGGCAACTGTAAAAACATCTTTATATAGACGATAATTCAACCAAAGAATGTTAAACGGTTTAAACCCACCAAAGTGTTTAAACGTTTAAACCTAAACGGTGTTTGGAGCGACCCTGACCCTAAACCCTTAATCCTAGAGCAGTAGGGGGTTTAGGGTTTCCTTCCTCGTGAGTAAGCAGGACTGGAAATCAGACTGAAGGCTCAAAACCCTGGAAGGGTTTAGGGTTTAGGGGACAGACTAGCTTAGAAGGGCCGATGAGGAGCGCTAGCACTGAATTTGAGGCGCGATCCCTCAGTACAATCAACTTCCGCATCAAGTTTTGAAGTAAACAACACCCACGAACACAAATTACAGGGGGACGCGTTCTAGTATGAAGGGAATATGGAAGTTTCTGGATATCTTCTCATAGAATACTCAATGGGGCTCGTATCATCTCCCTACGGTCCCTCCCAACCCCCAATCTTGCAACATGAGCCCTACAATGGCCTATCCCATGAAACCTGAACTCCGAAGATCCAAGCGCCAGGCCGTCAGTGTATACTTGGACAAGGTGTCGCTACCCTGACCCACCTTTGGCTTAATAGTGCGGAAAGGCTGAGGGTTTACGGCTTAAGTGGGAGTGGGCAAGTGAATCTGGATGGTATAAAAGGGTTGTGGTGGGGAGAATTTATCCAATCACCGTGCTCCACTTTCCTTTAGACAACTGGCAGTTTCCATAAATAAGGGGCCTCCACGATAAACCCCCAATACACTGGAGTCCTTAGTGCGGGGACGCGGCCCCCCCCCCCTCCCCCCGCCTCCAAAAAAAAAAACAAGCACTCGTCAAAGGTATCCTGTTTGGGGAGTCGATCCATGGGTCCAGACTCATCCGGCTGGGGCCATGTGAGCTTCGCTCTGGTCTAAACCTCCTGGTATCCCCCTTATAAGCCTAGGGTTTAAGGAAAAACTTCTGTTATCCCCCTTAATAACCCCTGTAATAGTCCTCCAGTCCCCTAAATAATCCATTGAATAACACCCTTTATTTAGTTTAGACTATGGCTCACATATCCTAAGCCCTGAACCCTGAATTCTAAGAGGTCCTAGTAGTAGTAATGTTCCTCAGCTAGGGATTAAAGTATACGATTCCCTCTGGTGAAACTTACTCGACTATGCTTGGACTTGTGAGGGCTCCCAGTCTAGCATCCTGTCTGGTTGTCTGAAAGTCCAGGCATGAAGGGTATGTTCATGCATGCTTCTGATTTCGCACTTGTTCATCTTTGCCATCACTTTCAAGAGGAAGGCGGCGTTGGATACCTTCATTCTGATTTCCAAGGTTTTCAGGCTTAGGGTTTGGCGTCTATGCCGCAAGCAGACAGTCAGCGCCGTAGCCACGGCCAAGTACTCCGGTCGAGTCTCGACCTGCGGATACGAGTCCCGCCCACCCTCCTCACTCGTCTCCTGGTCCGATCCCTATGGAGGTGGACGATGACGCTATGCCGAAGGTTCCCAGAGGTCTATACTTGGCAGCTTCAATGAATAATAAAGGGGCCCCAAGACCCCAGTATACCATTGTTCTTATTCTGGCAACCCCAAGAACAAACCTCGGAATTCTGAAAGGCCCTACACTATATACTACTCACATCATCCCAGTTTCCACGTCATTTTCTATTCTCTTGTCCATTTGATTCTCCATTATGTGGGCAAGGGAGCCCTAAACCTTACTATCTTAATCCTAAACCCAAATCCCTAGACCCTAAACTTCTAATTTGCAATAAGGGACCCGCATTTTTGTGAAACCACCGTTTACCAACCCAGACTTGCTCTCTATAGCAGAGGGCAGCTATCTCACAATCCACAACGGACTGATTAGGTTTAGGGTTTAGGTGGAAAAAGGAGTAGCGGTTTGTAATTTAACTGTTGGGCCGTCAGCTGAAGTGTCATCTCTATCGCTCTGCATCCCTGGCACGCGCCCAAGTAGCGGGGCACAACCACAAACCCTAAACCCTAGATCCTAAACCCTGAACCCTAAATCCTTAACCCTAAATCCTAAATCCTTAACCCTAAATCCTTAACCCTAAATCCTTAACCCTAAACCCTAAACCCTGAACCCCAAACCCGGCATGAAGATTCAAAAGCAAGACCTGACATCTGGCTGCAAGAAAGTGACCAATCGACCCCCTCTTTGGAAGGTGAGGTGGTACTCCTCATGGCACACAAGAGTCATTGGAATATAATATTGATCCATCAAGAATTATGGAAATGCAATTTCAAAATTGCGCGTGGTGCAACTTCTGCAGACTTACTGTCAGCCTCCTCATGGTATCTAGATTCTATAGACGTGTAGGGAAACCCTGGCAAGGAATCTAGCAAGTAGCAACCCTAAGCCCTAAACCCTTGAATCTAGCCAGGATCATGGGTGGCAGTTCTCTCTCTTCGCAAACGTCCCCTCAAGACTGCACTTGCCATAAATGCGCCTAACGTAGACCCATTGGGGTAATATTAGGGTTATATTGGAGTTATATTGGGATAATGGACAATAAAACGGAAGCCACAGTGATTTTAGGGGTTTATGTAGCGATTATAGGGTATATATATTGGGGTTACAAGTCAATAACGGAAAAGGAAATGGCCATGATTTAGGGCTTAGGGTTTTTGCACTGTGAAAGTCTGACAGCTCGTCCTTGCTCGTTGGCGGCACAAAACGCCTGTGGAACTGGGTCCTGGGCGACCACACGTTGAACAAATGAATTGAAGCACCGCCGCGTACGCAATGAGTACAACACCAACATGGACGGCACTTAAAAAAGCAAATCACAATGCTGTCCCTACATCCTAAACCGTTATTACAGTTGTCGTCTCTACTACTATCATCATGTTTGTAACTATCCTTACTACAACCCAGGGCCTAAACAAGGAATCCACGACCTTGAATCCCAAACCCTAAACTTTAAACCTAAATCCTACATCCTAAACCCCGTTTTAATGAGGAGTCCTTGGGCCTGCAGACTGCGAACATCTGGAAGCCACATGAGCTATAGTCTAAACTCCTAGCATCCACCTTACTAAGCCCAATAATCTTCCCCCATATAACCCCCCTTCAGGGAGTTTAGACTCCAGCTCAACCCTAAACCCTGAGCCCCAAGCCCTAAACAATATATAACCCCCCTTCAGGGAGGCTTAGACTGCAGCTCAACCCCCTAAACCCAAATCCCTAAACCCTAAACCTAGACCCTGGATAACTCCCATTTGAGGAGTTTAGACTACAGCTTACCCACTTTTGCAGCATCCACCATCCCCCGGCTCCATTTCACCCCCCATAAAAGGCCACTGAGCATCCATCGCTTCATTTTTCGAAAAATATGAGCACAGATGAACTTCTAGTATCCCCCTTAATAACCCCTATAGTAGTTCCATATATAATCCCCTATATAACCCCCTTTAAGGAGTTTAGACTATGGCTCATATGGGATGTGTAAGGGATACGTGGGGTTCTGTTGATATCTAGGGGGTATAGCGGGCTTATATAGAGGATACATAGGGGAGACATGAGGTATAGATAGGGGTTATACCATGCCAACTGCTCCCTGGAACAGCCACAACATGCAAGCCATCCATTCGAAAGAGCTTGCCCCAGTGAATGCGCCCACGCTACCACGGCAACATCTTCCCTATACTTATCCTGGGTTAGCAGGGGATGAAGGAGTTTATCCTTGTATTAGTTCCTATATGATCCGCAATCATACCATAACCGTTTCCTCTTCTTTCCTACTCATTCATTCTTTCTTTCTTTCATTTATCCATTCACTCATTCATGTATAACTAACTAACTGACTAATCAGAGGTAAGCATAGCATGCATATCGTCGGTCCGAGTAATTACATGCACATTATGAGCGCATCCATGCCATGCGCTGCATCTTTCATACCGTTGATAGAAGCCCAGTCTCGTCAGATTCCTGCACAAGCTTTGTGCCCCTAAACCCTACAAACCTAAATCCTAAACCCTAAATCCTAAGCCCTAAACCCTAAATCCTAAGCCCTAAACCCTAAATCCTAAATCCTAAACCCGAAACACCAAACACACACCCCCCTAAGCGCAGATTTCATGGCTTGCACAAGGAATGCTGCCTTACTAACTACATTTTCTGAGCTGCGTTAAGGAACTTACCTGGAACTTACTTTGGGTTTAGGGTTTAAGGCTTTAGGGTTTTAGGGTTCAGAGTTTAGGATTCAGGGTTTAGGGTTTAGGCCTAGGGCTATATCATCCCCCTATAATGGAGAATCAAGTGAAAAAGAACATGGATGATGAACAGGAGACTGGTGCGAATACAGGGATTCAAGGGACTTAGTTCAACTTACTATTTTGGGAAAACCCGATTAATTGATTTACATATATACATATGAATATATGTGTATATAGATATATACATACATTCAAATGTATACATATATATGGCACCCACTATGGTAACTTAATCTAAGTTCCTTGACAGCAGCCCAGTTGTGTAGGATGTTGCTTTGGAGGCAACTACGAAGAACGCCAAACGCACGCAATCCTAGGATAATAGCTCACTAAACCCTAAACCCTGAACCCTAAAACCCTGAAACCCTAAAACCTTGAGCGTCTTGCGCCTGCAGACCCTCATGTTTTGGTTTAGGGCACCCCTGCCGTTCAAAAGCCTTGGATTCTGCGGATGCCAAGAGTCCAACTACCAAAACCCCAGGGTCATGGTTTGTTCGTTCACCCTTAAACCCTAAACCCCAAACCCTGAACTTCAAACCCTTAACCCTAAACCCTAAAACTTCACCCTCTGTAGTTATTACCAAGCTGCAGCTGAGTCCAAGTCCACGAGCCGGACCAGCAGCTGGGGCTCAACGACTGACACCTTGCCAGCGGTTCATGGCATAGGGTCTCGGGTGTAGGATTTAGGGTATAGGGTATGGGGTTCAGGTTTTTAGGGTCTAGAGTTAGGGGTTTAGGGTTTCGGGTTTGGTGTGTCGTCGGTTTGGGGTTTCAAGTTGTGGAAAGAATGTGTAGAATTCCCACCAGTCAGCCTGAAATAATCCCTACGTGATCTCCCGTCACCTGAGACGTCTAAGACCTAAACCCTAAACCCGCGAGTATTTGGACTAGATGCTGGAGTCCAGTTGGTTAGCAGGGCCCAGGAGTGTTTGGAACAGGCATGGATTGAACCCCTAAACCTTTTTGTGGACCCCCCGCCACCCAATCATAGTGATTATAAGGGATGATTATATTAGGGTCCTGTTAGATTCCTACTATACCGCTATAAATGGGCGGGGGGCTCCACCCAATCTAAACCCTAAATCCTAGACCGTGTCCAGGACTACGCAGCTGAGCCTTTTCCCGGTGGAACGTCCTAAACCCTAAACACCTAAACCCCAAGGCTCGTTCCGAAGCGTTCTCTCTCTGAACTTGTCAGTCGAAAGTCTGACCACTTCCGATGACGGCTGTCATGCTTGGGAACAGCTCTTATAGTAGTACTAAGTAAGAAGACTGAGAAAATACGGGATAATAACAGGAACAAAGCAGCAGTGATAACAGCACTGGCAATTATTCTGACCTCTGCTTTTTCAGTCAAGAGGGATCGAAGTATACAAATAGTGCCTACCTTGGGGCCTAAAGTCTCCAAAGATTACCTACATGGGGCTATTTGGATGCCAAGGGAGCCCTAAACCCTAAACCATAAACCCTAAAACTCTAAACCCCAACCCTCAAACCCTGAAACTCTAAAACCCTAACAACCCTAACAACCTAAACCCTAAACCGTCATAATTTGCCGTGCCCTGGCGCATGCTCTGGCAGAGCCGAACATCCGCCAAGATCCAGTCGGAGCTTTTCGGCCTGCTGGCCACTGAGCTAATCAGGGAGCCCAATATCCCATAATGGTTTAGGGTTTAGGGTTTGATGTGCAGGGTTTAGGGTGTTAAGGTCGTAGGGTTCAGGGTTTTAGGGTTCAGGGTTTCAGGGTTTGGGGTTAGGGTTTAGGGGAGCCCAATATCCCTTAGTTAAGGAATAGTCCTTGAACCATATTAGGCATCCTGCCCTGATTTACAGTAATTAATTATCTTCGTTAATTAATTACGTAGGGGGTATCGGGCTTTCTAGGTACTAAATAACTCAATAGCTGAATAACTGTAACTAAATACCATAGTTATTTAGTGTGATCGAGCAGGGATTTGCGTCTACAGCCAACTATGTGCGACGACTCTCACCTTCCCTTTACAGGCTGGGACCTCTAAACGCTAAACCCTAAACCACCTGGATGTCCTGTACCACAAGGGTTTAGGGTTCTGGGTTTGCGGTTTAGGGTTCAGGGTTTGGGGTTTAGGGTTCATGCCGTCACCACTGGCCAACTTGCACCTGCGAAAGCTTCCGAAAGCCTGCACATGAAAGACTTTGCCACCCAGATGGTTCCCGTGCAAGATGGTTTAGGAGATTGTGGGAGGAAACCCTAAATCGAAACCCTAAACCCTAAGCCATAGAACCCTAAACCGCTTTGGAGACTCAGTCAGGATGCGTCGAGGAAATATCACCTCGACGGACTCGGCTTGGAAGGGTGTCATGGTTGTTCTAGGGGTTTAGGTTTAGGGCTTAGGGATGTTTAAGCGCGACCCCAACAGCTTCACCACCACAAGCCAAATCATCCGCGTGTCCAGCCAATGTACATGTTCTCGTTCATATCATTTTTTTCGTTTCCCAAACCTTGGGTGCTGAAAAAACGGGTTACTCTTCAGGAACTTTGTGTGAATTGGCGTAATAAGGAACCCCAATACTTACTACATACCCACATTATGGTGACTTAAGTTAAGTTCCTTAACAGCAACCCAGGTTAGCAGGGAATGAGGGCATCTATTATCTAGGGCTTAGGGTCTAGAACACGGGAATATCACAAATACATACATATATATATATGTAGATATAGGGTTTAGGGTTCCTTAACCAAAACCCCCTAAACCCCTAAACCCTTAGCCCTAAACCTTAAATCCTAATCCTGCAAAAGGAAGGCATCCAGTGTTCCGAATCATCCTCCAGCCTCGCGGGATCCTTTCCGCTAGAGGGCCCTACCCCCGAAACCCGAAATCCTATAATCCCCCTTTAGGGTTTAGGGTTATAGTCCCCCTTTAGTAGATAGAATATGGGGTATATGGGGATCTTACTATGATATATCCAAAGCCATATTCTATCTACTTAAAGGGGGCTCTATACCCAAAACCCTAAATCCTAGACTCTGAACCCTAGACCCTAAGCCCTAAATCCTAGACCCTAACCCCCAAAACCTTATTCTAAATCCTGCCCTAAACCCTCTCCCAGCACGTCACCAGCCAACACTGGCCTCAGCTTTGACACCACCTGAAGGCAGGAGGAGTGGTGTGGAAGCCCTGGGTTGTTTAGGGTTTCAGGGGTTAGGGTTTTAGGGTCTAGGGGTTCGGGGTTTAGGGTTTTGGTTTAGTGGTTAGGGTTCAGGATTTAGGGTTTCCGGTTGAATTAGGGTTTAGGGTTGAAGGGGTTCTAGGCGCCTCTTTTACGCTTGCCAACTGAAGTAAGACTTAGGGTGTAGGTTGACACACAGTGGAGGATCACATGGAACATGACATGGACAAATGCATGTAAACTGCAGTTCGAACTGCAGTTGTATACGGCGCTGAGGACCTTCAGTTAATATACAATCGTAACAAAACCATGTTGCCTGCCACATCTCCAGACCACGCTAACTAAATCGATCTTCTCAAGATAAAGAATTAGGAGCAGTATGCGTTCGCGGCATTGTGTATTTCTTGCTATATTTCATTCCTCCCCCCTTACGAAACCTCCCCCCCCAGTACAACCATGTTCTCATCGTAATGTCCTACTATACTCTGGGTAGTTAGTATCTGTTCTCAGACAGAAAATTATTTCATGGGCCTCCTTTCATATGACCCTTAACCATTCATTTTGAGCCCGCAGCTCTCAACCCTAAGCCTTGTACAGCTACAGATACCCTAAATCCTGAACCCTAAACCATCTCGTGTTCCCCCCATTGCTTCCGACCGCCTCTGGCTGCACATCGGACAGCTCGACGATGGGGCTTTCCACCATCCATTCCTGTCCAGAACTCTTGGGGGTTAAGGGTTTAGGGTTCAGGGTATAGGGTTTAGGCTTCAGGGTTTAGGTTTCGGATTCAAGGTTTAGGTTTAGGATTCATGGTTTAGGTGTTAGGGTCTAATGGCATTACTTAAGGCTTGGAGGTCGTTTTTAGCTTTGAAATCTAAAAAAAATTGAGATTAAGGCAAGTTGAGAACCCGAAGGAATGGTAAGTTTATATCGCTTGAGGGTTTAGGTTTTAGAGCTTAATGGTTTAGGATGTCCCAGAATTGGGGATGTCATTTTTGGGGTCGCCACCATAAGCGTTATAGCATTGTTGGAACCTCAATGGGAGAATTGACTGGGGTCTCCCTATCTATAGCTCTTCCCTTGATCAATAGCCAACAGCCCTGCCACATGTCTTGAGGAGCCCAGTGCACCTGCAGCGATGGCGAAGCCTCAGGCGGTGGCGTAGCTGTTCGTGGCGGCGTGGCTGTTCGTGGTGTAGCTGCTTGTTGCGGCGTAGCTGCTGGTGGTGACGTGGCCGCTGGTGGCGGCGTAGCTGCTGGTGGAGCCGTAGCCGCTGGCGCAGCCGATGGAAGTGAATTTGCTGTTAGCGCAGGCGAAGCTGCTGGAGGCTCCTCAGTTGGCGGCGGCATAGGTGGCTCCGACTCCACATCGTCGTGGGCTGCCTTGGGTATAGAGATTGATTATGTAATGATTATGTGTTCTGCAATGGCTGGCTTTGCTCAACGTCTCACTGTGCTCCCATGAGCATCAGGGTTCAGGGCTTAGGGTTGGTTAAGGCACCACTGCCAACAGCCATGAAAGCTTCCAGCATAGCCAAGCGTCTGTGTCAGCGCCTATGCCTGAGCCATTCAGAGCGCGCAAAGCTGGGAGTAAGGGATAAACTTCCGTTGCAGTGCGCTGATTCGCGTCCAGCATTCTTAAACTCTAGGATCCCAGGAATCAAAACAACGCAGCAGTCAGCAAAGCAGATTGCGTACTTGTCTCAGCAGTAGTGGGGTGACTGCCAAAAGGGTAGCCCAGCCGAAGCTGAGGCCGGGGCGGCTACCGAGTGGTTGGTCAGTCGTAGATCCTTCGTGCTCTTCCGACTACTTACTGGTGCTCAAGGGAGAGTGGGGGAGTGGATCCCTACAATCATCCCTATATAATGCCCATATATGCCCGCATAATGGTACCTGTACCAGTAAAACTATCAGCTGAAACATGCTCTTGACTTTTGAGCTTGCCCATGGCTTGAAGTAGATTAATGCCAGGCTCACGATGTTGGCAATCCCTGTGGCTTTCTGCCTGGCAGGCTACTTGGGGGTTTCCCAAATTAGGGGTACCATTATGGGTGTCAAAACAATGTGGACTATAGTATCTTGGGGTCTACATGGGGGCCCCTAATTTTGTGAAACTCCCACTTCTCTTCATAGGCTGAAGGCTCTGATGGACAATATCCTGCATGACCCTCTGTACCACAACCCTGGGAATTATGCCACAGCAGGCCTTGGATCATGCAGAATTCTGTCCATCAATCGTACTGTAGGTGCTCCATGATCCCGAGGTCCAAGTGGTCAGTTGTGTTAAATTTGTTCATCCCTGTGTCCCTCCAACCCTAAACCCTAAAGCAAAACACAACCCCCAGATGGAACAAGCCCGCAACAGGCTGGATTGCTGTCAGGAACGTAAATTATGTTACCATAGTACGGATACGCAGTGAACTTGCCAAATAATGCAGTCAGTTTTTGATTCTGGTCATAGCACCTATCTAACGGCGGCGTCCATTCCACTTTC